TGGACAACAGAAGGAGTAAAGATGCTGCAGTGGCTTTATCTGGTTGTGCAGATTTTTCATGAGAGAATCAATAAACTAAGAATGTTAAAAAAAAAAAATGCATAAATTAAAACAGTTTTAAAAGTCCATGTACCAGGGCACCCGGGTGGCTGGGTGGGCTCAGCGTCTGCCCTCGGCTCAGGTCATGATCCAGGGGTCCTGGGCACGAGCCCCACGTCGGGCTCCCTGCTCAGAGGGGAGCCTGCTTCTCCCTCCCCCTGCCGCTCCCCCTGCTTGTACCCCTTCGCTCACTCTCTCAAATAAATAAATAAAATCTTTAAATAAACAAATAAATACAAATAAATAAAAGTCCAGGTACCGCAAAAACTGGATAAAGATTCAACTAGCAAATGAGAAAATGGAGTAAGAGTCTAAGACAGACAAAATCACTTCCTGGTGACACGCCCTATGGACAAGAGAGGTTATTACAGCAACAGATGACATGCACCAGTGTGTGGCCTTCAGCGGACCCGCCCGCCACTTAGATAAAAAGTACGGGGCCCGGGGACCGTACCCTAGGAGAGCAGTCCTAAGGATGGACAGCCTGTTCCAGCCTCTTCTATCTTCCCTTTAACTGTCCCCAGAGGCCCCAGCTCAGGTCTGCTCCACCCTGATTTCCTAACCTATACTCATTAGGGTCTCTGGCCAAGTAAGATCGAGAAAGCACACTCCAGCTCATTCTTAGGAATCAACCACGCGCATCGATGTATTAATGGCTCTGAAAAGCCATGTAGTAAAGACACTGGTGTATCTTTACCACCCTGATCACCAAATGAATGTGACCACAGATCTCCCTGCCCCCTGCACATCCTAGCATTTCTGATTCCATGTGACCAGAGCCCTACCTGCGGAATTTCGGATCTGGTCAGTTGCACTCCATCCTGCTGAAAAGGAGATACAGCTCTAAATATTCTCCTTGGCCTTATGGTACTGAACTCAACCCCTCAATAAAGGCAGGAGATGCTCGGGTATCCGGAGTGGCATTTTTGGTGCCACTTAGAAAACAAGGCAGGATCTCTCGGTTCCTCTTGCTTTATCATTTGTTGGCTGTTTATTATGTGCTGGGCATTGCACCAAGCCATATTAACACATATCCCAGTTAATCGTCAAAGCAGCCAGGAACAAACAGATACTGTTACACAGCTGTTTCGTTAGCAAAAGGAACGGAGGCTTCACAATGTTATAAAGCGGCTGGGCTCCAGTGTGACTCAGGTGTGACTCCAGGGCCCAAGTCCTTAACCACTGAACCCTACTGCCTCCCTGGAGACCAGAGGATAAAGTGCACAGAAATGTTATTAGAAACAGGTGGTTTCTAATGTTATTAAAATGTTATTAGAAACAGGTGGTGAGAAGAGCCCTCTTTAACCAGTCCCGGTTTCACCTGATAGCCCGACGGCAAGGACAGGCATCCCCTCCAAGCCTGGCCACTCTCCACTTTGCATCTGCTCCAGCCCCTACTTCTGCGGAGGCTTCTCTAACATGTAAACCCCCTCTGGCTTCCAGGCTTATTCTGTTCCCTTTGACCACAACACGTCTCTACTCTCTCCCCTTGGCAACTCCTACTCAGCCCCCATTGTCAGCTTAGGGTTGCCTTCCTCAAGAACTCTTCCCTGATGCATCAGCCTGAGTCTAGGGTCCCTCTGATGTGCTGTGATGACCGCCCCCCAGTCATTCTGCCCATAGCACAGCTCAAAGCACGGCCCCCTGACATGTTTACCTCCCCAGCGAGACTGTGGGCTCTGGATACATGAAGTCTTGTACATGCACTAGGCATGGGACACAGGACGTGCTCAATCAGTCTGGAAATTATGTATAAATCAATCGATCAACCAAATAAACACAAGGATTCCTGATCCTTCTAAGGTCCAAATCTTCCTGATCATTCGGTGAAAGAGTGAACAACAAGACAAAAGATATTTTCTTTTTATTTGGAGAATAATGGTGAAGCAGGGGACGCCTGGGTGGCTCAGTCAGTTAAGCGTCTGCCTTCGGCTCAGGTCATGATCTCAGGGTCCTGGGATCGAGTCCCATGTTGGGCTCCCTGATCAGCAGGGAGTCTGCTTCTCCCTCTCTCTTGGCCCCTTCCCCCGCTCATGCTCTCTCTCTAATAAGTGAATAAAATCTTTAAAAAAATAATGGTGAAACAGGCTCTGAGTGAGGCAGATTTGGGGCTCAAATCCTAGCTCTGTCATTAACTAGCTAAATGAGCTGAAGCAACTTATTTAGCCTCTCCAAATCTGAATGAAGATGTAAATAGTGCCTACCTCACCTCACGGAGTTGCTGTGGGATTGAATAAGGTAATGCATAATTAAGTGTTGGGCAAAGAGCCTAGCACTTGGTCAATGTTCAATAAATATTAGCTATTCAGAGACGCAGGAGCAGGAATCCTTGTGGTGGTGGAAATGTTCTGCATTGTACAGTAACATCCTGAATGGGTCTCAGAACCGCACGTTGAAAAGCACGAGGGGAACCTATTAGGTGTCTTAAGACAAACTTCCACTTGGTACAATTCGTTTTATATAGATTTAA